TTGATTTTGGCAGCTGTGTGACATGAAGGTAATGCTACAAACTCAAGGACAATTTTTTTTTTCATGGGATAAAGGAAAATGCTTCTTGAAGTTAATGGAATTTGGTTCCTGCTTTCAGAAAAAACTTGCATGTATATAGTGCTTCAAATGATTAAGAAAATTTCTAGTTTCTACATATACAGGGTTGTCTTGAATTATGTTTTCAAAATATTTCTTATCAGATTTGTAATGGGATGATTTTTATTTATTGTGAGTCTAAAAATGGCTCTAGTTTCCAAAAAATGAAAAGCAGTATATAGTATTTTAAAACCTGTGGGCACTGGTCTGTCATGGAAGTTTTTAGCAGGTCCACAGGAAATTTTTTCAGCATAGTAATTATCATACAAAGTAGAATAAAGTCTGTTATTTTTTTTTATCTGAAATGTCAGAAAAACAATGGCAGTTGAAATTACCTGATGAAAAATGTAAGTTGGATTTTCCCCTAATAAAAATTTAAAAAATGTTCACCTGCTGAAATAAATCATTTCAAATTTTCATACTGAGAAACCTGTCTTCAAGCCAACCTTTTTAATTTTTGAAGACATCCCACTATGTTTGCTTCATTGATTCTTGACTCAATTTAAAAAAAAAGCAGAAACTTTTCAAATACCTGCTATAAAGTCTTTCAAGCGAAAAACTATATTGAGTCCATGACAATTTGATGAAATGGTGCCAGTCTGCAGACATATTTTGGCAATCAAAAGGAATTCTGCATGATAAATTTATCAAAAGTTGTAATGAACTGGTTCTTATCTAAATAATTTTTGCCAAAAATGCTGCAACTTGTCAACACTAACCACAAAGTCTTTCAAGCAAAGCTTTTTTGAGTCCCCAAACATTTTATGAAACCTTGCTGGTCCACAGAAATTCTTTTGGGTATTGGCTGGTCTGCAAAAAATTTTGTGGAAATTTGCCATTCTGCAGCAGGCCCAAGAAAATTGGGTAAAACTGCTTCAAAGGACCCCAAAAACACAAAAAATAAGATTAAGGATAAATGAATTCAACCACAATCACAAATGCATTTTCATATCTGTCTGTCATTTTTATCACCTTCAAATTTCACGCAGTGCATTTTATCACCAATATTTTATTTAGAGAGTCAAGAACAGCTTTTCTGTTCAATTTTCTCTGGTACCTAGACTTTTTTGAGCTCACAAACATATTTTCATTTTTGAATGATCAATGGATCAATCAATCAGGTGCTCATTGCCGTTTTGCTGATGGTATTCGCTGGTGAGGGTGAAGCCAAGAAGAAGAAGAAGCACAGCAGCTCTTCCAGTTCCGGCAAGAGTTCCAGTTCTAGTTCCGGAAAAAGCTCCTCTTCTTCCGGAAAGGGATCTTCGTCCTCGTCCAGCAGTGGTCGTTAATCCACACATTGTAAAAGCATCGACAACATCAGAAATGCAAAAAGAGACATTCCAAAATCCAGATTCATCTCTGCTGGAGAAGCAAACAGAAGAAGAACCTGCTGGAGGCAAACTGTTGACGTCGCCTGAAAGTCAATTATTCCAGTGTTGAAATCACTGCAATTTCTCTCTTTATACTTTTCCATTGATGTATTTTTTTGTATCAATGACTGTTGGTTATTTATTCATTGTCACTTGAAGCTCATAGAATGGCGCACTCGGATATTTATGCTTTTTTTTCTTATACTGCGCACGATAGAGAAACTTTTTTTTTGTTTGGTGGTCGATGATTACTTTGTATTTGTGATTTTATTTTTTTATTATTTTAGAAAATTTGCTGCAGGTCTTTGTGTAGTTGTGGAAATAAACTGCTGAAATCTTGCTACATATTTATTGGCAGTATTTTTTCAGTGCATCTTATTCTTCATGCATTATCAAAAAATGTTGAATATTGCAATTCTGTCACTTATTGTTGCAAAAATTTCTGAGTCAGTTCAGTAGAACCAAGCATATAAAATTCAATCACCAGCCTTGAGCTGAGGGAAAGTAATTTTTCATGTCAATGATTTCTGAAAGAACCTAATCCTCAAAGAAACACGCCAAAATGGCGTCCTTTGAAAACAAAGCAATAACAGAGACAAGTTTTGGCAATTGCCAAAACTCGTCCTTGGTATTTCTGTGTGAATAGGGTTTCTCTCTTGTTCACACAAGAAACTGAAAACGGACCTCTTTGGTCCTTGAATCTCACAAAAAATCCTAAACAACAGTAACTGCACCTCAAATGGCGGAAGCTGTAATCTAACCCTGAAATCTCTGTGGAAATTTCCACAAGAAACCCTTTTTTCCTGAGGAAAAGACTCAGGGATTTTCATCACTATCCTTCAAACCATGGTATTGTGCGGAACTAAAAATACTTGGAGAACTCCCTTGAAATTGACAACAAGATTTTGTGTGTGTGAATACAACTTTTTAAAATAGGGTGTTCTTGAGCACCCTGGTTGTAGCCCAACCAAATCTTGTGTCCTGAATTTCCTGATTTACTTTTTCCCTTTCTGTACAATTTGTACTTTCAAACCTCTGTGACACTTATTATATCCATTGGATCTCTTTATACTGATTTTTATGCCTTTTCCGCAGTCATTTAGATGTTGGTTACTGTAATTAACCACTTACAGTTTTAGACAGGTAATACTGATTTATGTTAATGTTTTGAAAGTTTGGCATATTTATATGTATATTTTCTGTTCCAATTACATTTAAACCCCTTTGAGCATTGCAAACAATTGAAGGATGCAGAATTTTGCTTTTGATTTTCTTGTCTGAAAATGTCACAGGAGATGAATTGTATCTTAAAGTCAACAGAATTATTTAAAAATTCACATAAATTTCCAAATTGCTGTATTTGAAAAGGAAACTATTTGATCCTTTTTTGTCCTAAATTTTCTCATTTTAACATTTCCCACGAGAAGAATTTGTATCTTAGGTCAGCAGAATTAACAAAGTTGTCCAACATATTTTTCATATTATGTAAAAAAAGGAACTCTTTGAGTATTTTTTTTATGTATAAGAATACAAAAAATTCAAAGATGAGTTCATTCCCCAATTTTAAGAAGGTTTGCTACTACAGTAGTAGCTTTCAGGGTTTTTTATTCCAGACATTTTCATAACTTGAAATACTGTCAAAGCTGGGTACATAATACAGTCAAAGAGGGGTACCTTGCAATTCAACCTTCCACAATTTGACTGTCCTGCAATTCAATTGTCAAATTTTCAGGGAGGTTGACTTGCAATTCAACCTGTGCCCTGGAATTTGACCTGCTTTGGCCACCTTTTTTGCATTTTTGTGCTTCTATTTCTTGATTTTGCAGAGTGTCCTGATATTCAACTGCTTTGCAATTTGACCCTAGTTCAGCATTGGATTAGGGTTGAATTGCAAGTTATACCACCTATAATTGGACCACCAGTTAATGGGACCAGTCACTTATTTGGACCTAATTGTCTGAGACAGAAACAAACCCTTTAAGATAATATAAATTTTAGTCACTTCTTTGGACCAAAACTCTGCTTAATTGGACCAGAGAAAGTTCACACATTCTTTGAAATTGTACAATAGTAAAACATGGAAAAAAATGCAGAAGCTCCACTGTGAAAGGGCCAATGTATGTGACATGTACACCATTTTGAGTTTCACAGTGTCATAGCACCATTGTTGCATTTGAAAACTGTGTCACAGTATAGTGACACTGTTTTTGCATGTGACAATGGTATTTTAGCATGGTGACACCATTTTCACATGTGATGACAATGTCAGAGCATTGTGACACTGTGTTTGCATGTGATGATGGTGTCACAGCATTGCTGTCATCACATGTGACAATGGTGTCTTAACATCATGGCACCAGCAGTGTTGTATGTGATGATGGTGTTTTTGCATTGTGACATGTTGTGGCATGGCAGATGTGGATATTATTTTCATGGGACAAACTGCTTAATAGGACCAGAAAGCCTGTGGCCCAATGTGGTCCAATTAAGTGGCTTTCACTATAATTAGACATTTGAATACAGTATACCGTATTTATTCAAGTACCATGTGCACCTTTTCTCCCAAATTTCAGAAGAAAAAAAGGGGTGCACGTCATAAGGGGGTACAACATTTTCAAGAAGTTTTAGGAAGTTATGTTTTCATTAACCTTGATTATAATGGAGAAAGTTGGAACAAAGATAACAAGAAAACATTTTTGTATTGAAAAAGTTAAAAATTCATCAGATTTTTGTTCAATTCACGCCTAAAGTCAAATTTTTGGTTTTTCTTTTTGAAATTTTATGGTTTTAGATTCATTAAAAACTGGGTGCGCGTCTTACTCAGGGATGAGATTTTTGCAAAATTTTGAACTGAATAACCCCTGTGCGCGCTTACTTGAGGGCAAGTGGTACTTGAGTATACAGTAGTATACAGTAGTATGGTATAGTTTCTAAGGAATGTTTTTTTTTTCAAATGTGTGAGAAGATCTATATAAAACCAGGAAGAATGCATCCTACATGATACTGTCAGCCTCCAATTGAAAAAAATAATATTTTATTTTGAAACAAGTGATAGAATGTATGTGCATGTGCATGTTGTAACATTTTTGAATGGCTGCCTTCTTGATGCTAAAAGCAGAATTATTAAAGCCAATAATGTATGTTCTAATATTGCACATTGTCAGCATTCATCCCAGCAATACCTTTCCAGGCATCTTAATATTAAATCATATTGTTAAATGCAATATAGAAAGAGGCAAATGACAGTCATGATCAGAAGATGTTACAGATAGCAAATCTGAGAAATAATATAATGTGGAAGGTTTTTAAATATTTTTTTGCTGTGTATTATCATTATGTCATCCCACACTGTTCCTCAAGCATATGATACAAAATGTCTTGTATTGTCAAAATGTAAATGTTATCTAATTTTATGAAAACTGCTTCAATGACTTCCAAGAATTTTTTACTACTCAGAATCAGATTAAGCAGTCTCTGTTTAAAAAAAAGTTTGAAAGAAAATTAACACCAAGGTTTACCTAATGAAAATGCATTTGCCATGAAATTCACAAGGGGGGAAAAAGTCAAGAATGCCAAATCAAAATCTGTCAAGAAGACCTAGAAAAAAATGCCATCATCCTTGTGAAATTAATCACTGAAATTTTGCAAAGCATCCCATTAGTGGCGCAAAAAGCTGCCATGGGGATGTGCTCCACCAGGATACCCCCCAGCAGCATGTGCTGGTTGCTGCTGCTGCTGCCTTTGGTGGTACTGAGGTGCATTCCTAGTGGCAACCTGATGGTTCCCATCACTGCCTCCATTGTGGCAGTAAGGGAAATTTGGGCAAGATGCTGGGTCCACTCCTGCAGGGTATTTGGCTCCACCTAGATCTCCATGTCCACTGCTGGGCACCTTTCAATTTGAAATACAAAATTTGAATATATGTACATGTATATAAAGGGTAGGGATGTAGTTGATGGGATTTGGAAAACATTTTGAACCCTATATGAGTACTGAAAATAAGTAACAAATGAAGCTTGTTTTCCTATATCTATTTACAAAATTGTACAAATCCCCCAAGAATCCTCCTACCTGATGATCCAAAATACGCATTGAATAAAAGTAATGTAAATTCCAGTCACATGAAGTCCAGAAATTCATAATTAAAAACTGTTCCAATAACACCTTCAAGAGCATTTTTGAGCGCACGCACGTTATTTTAGACAAATTTCTCAAAATGGTGATCATAAGGAGTCCCAGCCTGTTATTCACTTGTTGATCATCAATTCAAATTGAAACCAGCATGAGCTGAAAATTTAGATGTAATATGAGCAACATTTACATTGAGCAAAATTGATACCATACTCAAATTAATGAGTTGAACATACTTTTATGGAACCGTTAGTGGCAGATCTTGATAATTGTCACTTATGTAAAGGGTTTTATTTTACATGTATTTTAAAAATTTGGTGAGCCCAGAACTCAAAATTTGCCAGTTTGCCATATGAAAAAAATTTAAATTTTTTTTCACAGGAATGGACCAAATTTTAAAATGAGTATTTTAAATTTATTTAAAACTGTTAAAGTAAAACAGGGAAGAGTGATAAAGAAATGTCTGAACATTTTTCAGTAAAAAGCCACTATAGTGCTGACCCATGCAATAAACATTTGAGCATACTGTCAGTTTCTCTTTGAAAAAATCCAGATAATTTGATCATCACCTGCTGGGGCTGGTTGTAGTGTTGAACAGGAGCTTTGGGAAATGCAGGTTCAATGCTCCTGGACTGTGGGTGGATGCTGTTGGTGTGGTAAGCAGGTTGATGATGAGGTGCTGGGGCAGGAACATGTTGGTACCTTGGAGGTGCTTGGCTGTGGTGCTGTGGTTGAGGCTGAGCTTGATAAGCAGGCTGCTGGGGTTGGAGATAAGCAGGGTTGTATTGTTGCTGGTGAGGGTTGTATGGTGCTGGTTGAGGTGCTGGAATGTATTGTTGTTGGGGCAAATGGGCTGGTCTGGAAATGGCATTTGAGGATGGACCATATGCAGCTGCTAGGCGACTTGCTGGGTTGTATTGCTGAGGATGCTGGAATTGAAAATCAATAAACAAATAAATTCAAGGAAATGCAATTTCCTCCATTTCTTCAATTCCTCATACAGTGCTTGTCATAATCAAAAAGTTGATTGAAGTGGAAATCCATCAGTTACTAACTTGTCACAAATCAATATTGCTTGAATAATAATAATAATTAAGGATAAATGCTGAGCACACTGTTGATTAAAAAAATCAAAACAATGGAAAAAATGAGGCTGCAGTGCATTCCAACCAATACATCCCATAAATTTGAATATTTATTTTATAAAATGCAAAAATCTAGTAGGAGAGACTTCTCTGCACAAAATTAAATTTGATAAAATATAATACCTGCATGTAAGAACACATTTCTGATAAAATTTCAATTACTTGAAGTATAGATAGTGAGAACTTCTGTGCCCTGAGAGTCTCAGCATAATAAAACTAATCTATTCCTGAAGAGTTTCATTTTGGAATTTTTTCATTAAATAGACAATCTCTCAAGATTTCTTTGAAAGACAAAATATTTTCTAAAAACAACTTTTGCTTCACTAAAAATCGCCAAAAAATCGGGTATATTTGAAAAAATAAGCATAAAGTGCTTGAATTTATGCCAAGGAAAGTGCAAAAATTTGAGGGATACAAGAAATTCTTGAGTATCATACAATTTTAAAAGGAAAAAAAAGTTCTACACAGCAGCTTCAAATACCTGGGTGATGCCAAGCTTTTGCTGAATTTTACATTAAATGCCTAGCCTTATCTAAATTTAATTAGGGATTCTACCAAGAATTCCCACCAATTGTCCCAGCAGGGGCTGATTCTATGTTTCTTTTACCCCCTTTAAATATATATTTTTTGATGTTGCAAAAGATATATTCAAATGTTAAATATAAATATATGTTGCTCTGACCTTTGTCAGCAACAACTGTTGTTTCTGGCTGGTAACAGCATTCACCATAGACTTCTCTTAGTCTATATAATGTATTGAGTGTTCACTCAAGAAATCCAAATGCTAAGTTACTTTGACTATTGATCCAAAGTCACACAAGTAGAAACTTTGAATGCTTCTCAATAGTTTAATGGATTGGAAAATAAATAAATCACCTGGTTCTGGACAATTGGGCCTGAGTACCCATGAGGGCTCTGCTGGTGGCCCCTGGGATCTGTGTTGACATCACAAAATGGATAATTGGGACATGCTGCAGGGTCCACACCCACAGGAAATCTGTCCCCAGATGATCCTTGAGCAATTACTGCACAGCAGATGATGACAAAGGAATACTGAAACAAGGATGCCTGGAAAAACAAAACAAAGAATTACAGGCTTTCACTCACAGGAATCACTTCAGGTTTTCTTTTCAAAAATGTATTTTAATGAATTTTTGCAACCATGGGAAGTCTGTAATCTTTATCTAGGAATTTGGAAAGAAAATGGCATTTGAAATTATTTTATGAATTCTAAAAGTCGTCCTTTCTCTTAATAACACTTCACACAACTTTTCCCCCGGTGAAATGAATTATTTTAATTTTTCATTCTGAGAAACCTTTCTTGAAGGCCACCTTTTTAATAATTTTTTTGACATTCAACTAAATCTGCTAAATTGGCTCTTATTTTGATAATTTTTGCAGAAGGCCAGAAACTTGTGGATACTTACCATAAAGTCTTTAAAAAGCAAAACTTTTTGAGTCTACAAACATTTTATGAAATTTTGCCAGTCCACATAATTTATGTTGGACATTTTGTTGGTATGAGGGTCCAAAATGGTTGGGGAACACTGATTTATATTATTGCATGTTAATGCTGTAATTTTTTTTTCCTTTTTCTATGGATTTCTCTTAATACAATGCAACAATGCTAAAGCAAGATGTGCCTCAAGTTCTGAATGTTCTCTTCACTGAAACATTGAGAAAAAATTAATAGGAGTTTGCAGTGAAATATTATTCACATCCTTCATTAAATCCCAAACTAAAAACTTTGAAGGAGTTAACAAACGCAGCTCTTTTATGGATCTAAAAATTTGAATCCTAAACCTGAGCCATATGCTGAGAAAATTTTTTTTTTTTTACTGGAGGCAATAAAGCATTCCATTGTCTAATGTGTCTGATTTAAATGACTGATAGAGGCTCAATTATTCTTCCACAGAAGTTTAAAATAAAAATCTAGCCAAATGATTCCTGAATATTTTGATAATTGTTCATGTCAAGAAGTATTTAAAAGTTGTCTTACAATGATGTTATGAAAAATTCTCAGGAATTGTAATTTATATATGATTTGTTTTTTTGGAGGGAAATGTATAATTTATAAACGTAGCAGTTTAATTTTGGGAAACGCCAATAACAACACTCACCATTTCAATGAAGAAAAAGTTCAATCAACACTTATGAAGGACCTCAAAATTTTCTCTTCTCCTTACTCAGGACTAAAAGAAAGAAAAAAAACTTGGCTTCCTTCAGTGGAGATTCACGAAATACTGGTCTGTCTCTGGAAGCCCGTGGCAGGTTTTATAGCCACAAGACCGGAGGAACGAAAATTGTTCAGACCACGTTTCGTTTCCTTTTCGTCATAAAAAAAAAAAGATAAAATTATTTTTACTCAGGTGGCTCGAACCCCAATCTCAATGGTGGAAGGTAAGAAAGGAAGACTGAAGAGGGAGTAGCCATTTGGCACCATGTTTTATTTTTATGTCCATTCTCTTTGCATTCCTTTCTTCGTGACCTACAAGGACAGGGGAGGCTTGGTCAGTGGCTTCAGAAACTCGGGTTCAAAAACAGATACTGTACTTGAAGCGAGGAATGACGAATCACTGATTGAAGACTAAATAGCCAAAGAAAATTTCGAGAGGGAAACAAATGCCATTAAAGAAAAATAAAATATGTAGCTTATCTAATGCTAGATCAATATTGTGGGGGAACTGAAAAAGAAGTTGCTATTCATTCAGAACCATGTTTTTCCCTAATGACCAACAAGTTCAAATAATAATGAGTTTGCTCAGTGTTGGAAAAAAATTGGCTGCAAAAAGGCTGCAATAAATGATTGAGGACTGGTGTGAATAAACTGCCAAAGGAAAGCTTGCAAGAAAAAATAGTTTTTGGTGAGAAAAAACAGTGGGGAGTATCTATAATGGTAGATCAATATTGTGCAGAAGAAGAATTATCTGATTAGCACCATTTTTTAAAATGACATTCAGGCCGGTAAAATTAATTAGTTTGCTCAGAGTGGTGGGACACCTTGACTCCAAAAAGTATTCTGAAATGCAAAATAATTAAATTATTCATGACTGATTTTATTTTCAGCACTATTCTGCAACAATATTTCGAAATATCCTACAGAACTACTGTATTCAGCAACATTCTAAAAGTGTACTGCAGAGGAATTCAGCAATATTCTGAATAGTTACTTTTTGCAGCAATATTCTACAGCAATACAGTACTGTAAAATATTGAAAATGAATTAGCCAGGCATTTGGCAAAATGTTTTTTTGTTCTTATTCTTGTTGTTCCGAATAGTTTCTTCCTGACCTAAAGGTCAAACATGCATGGAATGAAGAAAAAAATTGTTGCAAGCCGGACTTCATTGTAAGAAACTCCCATTCTTCTTATGACTATAAACATTGTAAAATGAATGGAAACTGATAATATTGTTTACATCAATAAAGAATGGATATGAAGATGATAAGAAATTATGGAGACAAAGACAAAATTTCAAATAATGACCAGGACTTCCCACTTTCCGCATCATTGTTTTCTTCATTGAATTGAACAGCAAGCTTTATTTTCTGCTTTTCAGTTTTCACAAAATTCATCAGGCAAATTTTCTTGCATCCAAACCCCCTCTCCTCCCTATACCCATATTCATCCGAACACATTACATCACATCAGAAGGGAAAATAAAGAAATAAGCAGTAAATGAATATTTAAAGAAAAGAAAACACATCCTAAAATGTAAAATTGCCCAAGCAATGTCATGGGTCCTTTGGATCCCAGACAAAGGAATTGAATTGTGTAGCCATCAGAATGCAAGTTTTGAATAAGAACTCAAACTCTTTTCTGAGGAGTTCATTCTCATTGCCCAGATCATCAATTGACTTGTTGTCCTAACTTACGAAAGAACTGTGAGTCAAATATTTCAATAAGATTCTTTATTGACAATATTGGTGCTATACAAGCAGTGAGAAATATACTTCAAATTAAACTATCAAGATATGTTTAGCCTATCCTCCTTTCTAGTCCAACTCAAAATACGCTACTTTCAAAGCCTTTGAACTCCCGAGACCGACTTGAAGTGTATGGGCCTGTTTTGACTGCTTCGTTGACGCATGCTTCTCAGGCTGGGTGGGAAAGCATTCGCGTGGATCGACGAAAGCGAAAAAAAAGGCCGTATTCTCTTCAACGAGAGGGATGAAGCTGGGAAGTTTGCCATTATATGGAAAAATCATTGTTTGTAGTGGCGTCCTTTTTTGCGACATTGTGTGTGCCGTATTATCAGACAAAAAGGCGTGCTTCATGAATGCAGTTGGTGCCGAATCAACCCACATGATCATCTACTTACCGACAGTGAGGATCCATACCTTCTTTGGAACCCTCCTCATTCATGGGCGACTTTTGTAGGAAAACTAGACACGTTTAAAAGAAAAATCGTTTTCAACATAGAACCTCCAAAAATTGAAAGAATCATTCTCGAGGTTACCTTCATTAGATGTATTTGTGCATCAGGATCCACGCAATTTTCAGTGACCCACGCACAAAATAGCAGAACCACAAGCAACAAATTACATCATCACAAATATCGGGGATTTTTCCCTTTCTCGTGGATTATCTTCCTTACTTGTACAGTATATTTATGTGAATGTATTTATTCAATTCGTAACCCCTTCTTGCAAAAAATGAAATTTGCACGAAAAGCAGGCGGAAAGGTAGATGCATCAACTCGCCGTGATATGTCGGAAAATATTTCGCGATAATTCCGTTTTGAACCACCGCTACAAGCCGACGTCTCCCATCCGAAATCAACGTGAAAGCGAACCATACTCGAAATGCTTTGTAAATGTAACTGATTCATATAAGCGATCAACGAATAGAGCTCTGCGATATATGTAAGATTGTCTACCGGAAGCATGCAGTACGCAGGGAAATCCGTCTTTGACGCTTTATGTTGTCAAACGTAGGAATTTTCAGACCGAGAACACGCACTGCTGAACTGCGCTTCTACGCGAATGGGTTCGGTTTTCATGCATTCTAATCCGCATTTCATCCCAGTGGCTTCAGCATTCCGTACGAGTTTCCAAAGTTCTTGGTCCGAAATTATCATGCTAGTCCCCAGAGCTACGCGGGCGCTTTTGTCATTTCGTTGCCTGCATTCTTGATTGTGACGTGGGCTGGGAGTATGGTCGATATTCCAACAACTGGATTGTTGTGAAGCTTATTATAGTTTTATCCCTGTCCTTCAAGTACGAGGGATCGTTCAAAAGTTATGCTGGTAACATGAAATGAAGTTCTTTAGTTATCCAAGTCTCTGGGTCAGGATCATCCGTACTATATATATGAATCAGAGTGAGTCTCTTTTTTTGTTCTTAAAAAATATGAATGAACAGAACACTTTATTTGCCACTTTTCAGTGTTCACGCGGCACAACCAAGACTCCCACATCCAAACCCCCTACCCACCCAACCCAATTCCCATTAAAGACATTCAATCACTTCAAAGCAGGAAACAAAGCACAAATTGATGACAAAAATAAAATAGAACACACTCTTTTTTTTTATACCCATGTGCTTGGACTGGGTCAGGAAGAAATCAGGTGATTTCTTCCTGACTCATGATTGGCCAATTTTGATGAAATCAAGGAAGTGATGACCATTTCTTGTCCTTGAGTGAGGCTCAGTGAGTCTTGCAAAAATGGGATTTTTGCCAGGCTCACTGGCCTTGAGATCCAACAAGTTTCTTGGGTCAGTTTTGGCCTGGTGTAGGAGCTGTGTTGCTTTGGGACACAACAACCCATGTAAATAAATACACTTTCTTCCCTTCCTTGATAAAAAGAACAAAATGTCAGTAATAAGAATTTCAGCATATAAGGCAATTACCAAACCCAATTCAAAGCACCACGGTGTTCAGCCTGCTCCCAGGTAAGGATTAGTTGTCTGAACAATTTGGAGAGAATCTTTGATAAGAAATCATATAAATTAAACAGTTGATCTTGGTCCTCCAAGATGATTTTTTTGTTTTCTTTATTCAAGATCTGTCAAGATATTTTTGCAAATTGTTTGAGCCGCCCTATTACTGTCTGTAATGTTGATGTTTTGCCCAAGTTCTCACTCTCTGAATCAATAAACATGTCACTGGAATAAAAAAAATTAAAAAAAAGGGGATGAAGCCCATTCACGTCATTGTCAAACCAAATTAATTCTTGGAGATCTGAAAAAAGGCAGCTGGAAATTTCAATTCCTCTTGCTCTGGGAAAATCGATTTTGAAAATTAGTACTTGTACTTGTGTGCAAGTTGAACCATGAAAATTCAATTTGACTTCAATACTAATTTTTTTATGTGCCCTGTGAGACGGAACATAAATTGAATAATAATGCTTGCCGTGCAATAATATACCTGTCACTGCTTGAACAGATGTTGCCTGCTGACACGCCATTTCACTCGGGACAACTAGATGTCACCCAAGTCAAGAGAACAAACAGGAGAATCAAAAGGTACAACGCAGCGTACAAAACGCCACGTTGTAGCCTTATTCAAAATTTAAAGCATCTTCTTCTAGAAGATCATTATATGAAACCAGTTATGAAACATATTTACAAACAAGAATAAAAACAAGATTCCAAGGAAATCTAGCAAAAGACCAGCCATGGAGATATTGATCTCCAGGGCTTATTCAACTGGTGAATCAGCCCTGTGATCAAATGAATAATCAGGAATTCTGTGTGCAGAAGAATTAGTCACACACCAGTGGAAACCCTTGACAAAACTTTCCACTAATGAGGACCTGCACCTCTTCATAACCACCTCAAGAAGCAGTCAGAAGCAATCCAACCTCAACTGAGAAAGGAGCTAAATTTGTGTGTGCTGAATTACAATTGAACTCTGACCATTTTGCTGAATATACAAACTGACATTGAGGTATTAACCTCAGGCTGCAAACAGCCAATTGGGTTTATACCCTTCTTTCACTTCATCTCATAAGTGAAACTCAAATCTTTTTCAGAGAGACTCAATAGCCCCTGACAATGCCTGCACTCTTATTTACAATGATCTGATGTTGTGTTATATTGCAAATGTATCAGACTATAGAATATAATTAATAAGAGAGCAGGAAATTGTGAACAAAAAAAATCTGTACCTCTGAAATTTTGCTGTTGCAGTCTTCTGTTTCACACATTGTGAGAAGACACTAGATATTTTCCTGAAATAAAATTTATGCTCAAAGGATTTTTTTCTACTCTTCTTTTCAAAATACCGTTTTCAAAAGGTCCAAGGAAATTTTTATATTTTTTACGTATTCAGAAAATATAGTGAGAAGTCAGGAATTACCAATTTAAACACTGAGTGCGAGGTC